AATAAAATCAATTATTCATAAAACCATATCTCAGAGTAGGGAGAATGATAAAGAAGACTACTCAAAATTCATGAAAAGAAAACAATAAAACACGAACTTCATATATAAAAATAAGTTTACAAAACAAAACAATAAAAGACACAACTTTCTCACACTCCTTCCGAAGCAAATCCCTAAAAGTTCTCCTTAAACACATTCCCTCTTTATAAGCACTCTCAATTATCTATTAGAAATGTAATGAAAAAGAAATCTCTCACTTCCCCTCTCCTCTTACAACCCTAGAAGAAAATCTCCAAGTCTCTCACTCTCTCTCAGACCACCACCAAACTCTCTCTCTCCTCTCTCTTTTTCAGCCCTAGACACCTTCTCTATTTAATTAGTAGTTGCCTCCTCTAAAAAAGAATTCAAAATTCCCTCCAAAATTCTCTAAAAAAGTCACACCCTTTGAATCCCGAAAGACATGTCCATTCTTTAAGGAGACATATCCCTTCATTAAAGAGACATCCCTTCATTAAAGAGTCTTCCAAAGTGTTTAGATGCATTGAATATCTCAATGGGACGCTTGAAATATTTGAAGCCTTCAAAATCCGCTCAAAATTTGTTCTGAAACGCCTTAATTCATCAAATATCGTCTCCGACGCTGAGGTAATGATTTGATGCTTCAAGCTCCAAGTTACTTAAGTCCGTGTTATTCTCGGTTCAGGCGCCAGCTCTCTGAAAAACGATGCCTCAGGAACCAGAATCACATAGTTCTCTATTTAGGCTCTAAATTTCCTCATTTTTGCTACTTTTGCTCCAAATGCCTAAAATTGATATACTTGCAATAAAAACATAAAAATACTCTTCTTTAAAGTGCAATATTACAAAAAATAAGCATAAAACGTATGCTTAAAATAACATATTATTTTGGTGTATTAGATTTAGAACAACATTCAACAACAATAAGAGAGCTGAAAGTCTTAATCCAACACATGATTATTATAATATAGATGACTTGCAAAATTATAATCTAACTAGAGATAGACAGAGACACCCCAATATAAGACCTTAGAGCATATTTGGTTATGAAGATTTGGTCTCCTGTGCACTTCTCATCAACAGTGACGACTCAGCTACCTTTGAAAGATCCATCACCAGCCATGAGAAAGAGAAATGGATGTGGGCAATGATTGAGGAGATGAATTCTTTGCAGAAAAATCACACGTGAGAGTTAGTTCAGCTCCCCAAGAGAAAGAAGTCTATTGGGTGCAAATGGGTGTATAAAAGCAAAGCGTTTTTCACAATTGTTCAAGGCTCTTTTGGTAGCAAAGGGTTTTTCGCAACAAAAAGACACAGATTATGATGAAATATTTTCTACTACGGTCGGACATACTTCAATCAGAGCATTGCTTGCATTAGTATATATTTGGGATTTGTATCTGGAGCACACAGATGTTAAAATTGCATTCTTACATGGTGATTTGGAGGAGAAGATTTACATGAAGCAGTCAGATTGATTCACTCAACCCGGGCAGAACATATGATTTGCAGGTTAAAGAAATCGTTACATGGGTTGAAACAATCGTTACATGGGTTGAAACAGTAGCAATAGTAGTACTTTCAAATGGCATGAGCTCATCTTCCCTCTTGAATCCCTCTCCAGAAAACATCTCTCAATTGGTGCATCATTTACATTAACTGCTACTCTGTTTTCAAGTGGTTTGGAATGAGCATGAATGTTACATCTCAAGTTGGGATGATGCTTGAAGTATTTGGCAGGTGTGTTCCAAAACATTTTATAATAATTACAATATTAGGGTCTTTGTTCTAGGATAATTTGTTGCTAGTACCCATTATGGGTAGTGCCAAGCCATAATTCTTCCACATCAAGTAGGGTGATATCCCTCTCAACAAAAAATCCTTGCTATAGTAGGCTTGAATAGGTTAAACGTGGTTATGTCCAATTTAACTGGTCTCCCTAGTGCAACTCTAATAGAGTAGAGGACTTTGTGATTAAAGGTAGCTTTATGCTAGGTAGTTTAAACCAGATTGAAACCACCACTTGAAGCCCCCCACTTGAAGCCAATGATACAAGCGGTTGGACTCCTACATGATTCATATTGGCTATATGCGATGTGAGTATGTTTGTTGTGTCTATGTTAAAAGCCTTGATGATGGTTCTATTATTTTTCTGTTATTGTATGTTGATGATATAATAATTGCTGCAAATAATATGGCAAAGAATATACATGGTGTTCGTAGTTTGAAAGGTTTATTGAGTTAGGAATTTGACATGAAAGACTTGAGTCTTACAAAAAAGATTCTTGGAATGGAGATTCATCGAGATAGATGCTCAAGATGATTATGTTTATCTCAACGTGGTTATGTTGAGAAATTGCTAGACAAGTTTGAGACGAGCAAAACAAAGTTTGTGAGCACTCAATTGTCAAATTATTTTAAGCTTTCTTCAGAACATTGTCCTAAGTGAGATAGAGAAATCAAAGACATTGTAAAGGTTCCATTTGGTAGTGCGGTTGGCTGCTTAATGTATGCAATGGTATGTAATTGCCCTGATTTGTCTCATGTTGTTAGTCAAGTTAGTAAATACATGTCTAAACCTGAAAGACGACATTGAGAAGCAATCAAGTAGATTTTCAGGTATCTAAATGATACCATGGGACATGAAATTATTTTTGATAGTCAGCTGAATGATTCTTCAGTTGTGGGGTACATGGATTTAAACTATGCAGATGATTTGGATGAAAGAAGGTCTACAACGAGGTATGTGTTTACTTTTGGTGGAGGGCCGATATGTTAGAAATCAACAATTCAGTCTATTGTGACATTATCTACAACTGAAACTGAGTACATGATAGCAGCTAAAGCTGCTAAAGAAGCCTTATGACTTACTAGGCTAGTAAAGGAACTGGGTGTTGAGCAAGGTGAAGTTCAGTTTCTTTATGATAGTCAAAGAGATATTTATCTGGCTAAGAATCAGGTGTACCATGCGGAACTAAACATATTGATGTCAGATATCACAAGATAAGAGAATTGATTGTTTTTGGTGAGGTATTATTGCAAAAAGTTCATACTAATGAGAATGCGACTGATATGTTGACCAAGCCAATTACTATCAACAAATTCTTGATTTGCTTGGACTCGTTGAATATTCACAATTGTTAGACAAACATGATGACCCAACCCACTTTTGGTGTGTAAGAAACTCCATGATGTATTTTCTCCTAAGGGACTGGATATTCACAGAGGTGGAGATTTGTTAGGTATAGCTCATATACGAGAAAAGGGACAAATGTTGGAGCGGAACAGAGCCAACGAGTGTAACGGAGCTCGCTAGTGGAGTGGAGTGGAGCGGGAGCATTTGTTTAATCAAAGGAGTTTTCGTTATGTGGGTTGGTTTCCCCCACGGTACAATATATGAGTAATTTTGTAATTACATCATGTACGCCATGGTTATATATATGTCTTGTTCCTAGGGATATGGTTAATTGGTTGTACATTTTTTCTGAAATTGAAAGAAAATCGTCGCCCTGCTCCCGCGGACGTAGACATGTATGCTAAATCTCGTTAAATCTTTATATTTTCTTCTGAATTTGTGTCGATTCTTACGTTTCTTTGTTCTAAAATTCTCAACACTAATTCAGTAGCAAGAAGCAAATGACGAAGGGATAATGCTTGTGCTTGATACGACTAGAGAAAAAAGTTGATTCAGTCCTCCAACAAGAAGAAGTAAAGTGATGGACAACTCAAGTTACAAAATGATCAAATGACCCAAATTCGAACCCATCTGACTAAAATGACATGAGCATCCGAGCTAACCACAATTAGAAAGCTGAGTGAATGCATCAATCTGCCCCTCGATAGAGCTTACCCAAGGAAATAATTTAGTTCCTCGCAATCATTGACTGTCCTGCCAGCACCCCCGAGGTTACTCAACAAGGACTGATAATTGACATCATAATATAGTCTTATATGCATCCTGAAGGGTCCCCTCGTCAATGGATGAGTTATTTATTAAGTTACGATGATTCATCATCTGCTCATTATCCTAGTCTCATCCTACTAACAGATGCCCCTCATATAAAGATAGAGGGTTGAAAGACAAACCAAATAGATTATTTGATAAAATCTTATTGATCGAGTCAGTACCGCCAACCTGAAAAGAACCAAGTTCAGTCGGCCGACTACAATAACTCAGCCCGGTCGACAGAACAGACCTTACCAAGTCAAGGTCAAGGAAGATAGTCGACCGAGTCTTAGGGTGACTGACCAATAAACTCGTACAAATAAATTACCTAGAACATATAGTAAATATCTCATTAAAGTAGGAGCATAAATGTAATATCACATATTGTATTATCACCTCTATAAATAAGAAGATCATTTTTATAAAAAAAATAATAATTTACAAAACGTTTTACTATTTTTTATCGTTTATTTTTGTGCACACCCTCCTCATTTATTGACAAATCAATATTCAACAGTTAAGATAATAAAAAAAATTATAAGGAATTCAAATTCACAACGAGTATAAGATGCCAACCATTGTAATTAATAGTTAAAATTTATAAAAATTTATTAAACATAAACAAAAACATCTTTTTAGTTAAATACGAATACAGCTAAAATCAGTTTATTTAAAATTTTATTTTAATAGAGTAGGATTCATTTTTTAAATTAGTTAAAAAATAAAAAATTAGAAGATTTACAGACATAATAAGTAAGGGGTAATTATTGTCCAAGACCTAAACTTTATTTTTTTGGCACGTGCCATCATATCAAATTTTAACTAAAACGATGGTATTTTTAATGAGATATGAAATATTTGGGTAGTATTAAAGTAAAAGGTCAAATTAGGTCTTTAATAGGGTGGTATCCGTGTAATTTGCCCCAAGCTTGCCGCACGAATGCTGTCGCCTCCTCTTCCCTCGAACACAAATTACCGAGGAGTTAGCTAGAGAAGGCATTAACGAGGCCAGCGGCGTGCGATGGAGAGTCCTCCTCTTCCCTCGAACACAAATTACCGAGGAGTTGGGCATTAACGAGGCCAGCGGCGTGCGATGGAGAGTAGGTTTGGAGGAATCCGAAGCAAAGGTAATTCTTGCGCGCTTCAGTTCCTTTAAATCCCTTAAACCCTTGATTTATGGCAAAACCGAGGAGAAACGGGATTAAAAGTCTGCAGGGTTTAAAATTTTCATTTTTAGCTGTTTTGCGATATTCAGTTTAAATCCTGCTACCGAATTCTCGTGCAGGATAGGTCTTCACGGATGCGAGCATGAGCGGGCTTTCGAACGTCTTCTCCGCCCTCAATTTGGACGCAGAAGACGATAAGGAGCAGATTGCCAGTCTGACTACTGCGTCCGGTATTGATGGATGCTCTAAGCGAATATCCGGTAAGAAAGGTATGGCTATTGATCTTACTGACGAAGCCTTAGCTACAAGCTGCTGAAAGCACCTTTTTTTTTTATCCAACATTATTCTGGTGGACTAGCTTTCTTCTCTTGTCGAGCCTTAGTTGATTGCTTAGTTTCCCTGTTTTTATATATTTGAATCGCTATTTTTTATTTGCACTCGGAGGATCTAGATTACCAGCATTCGTACTTGATATGCTTCAGGAGTTGCTTCGTATGCTAACAATGCCTTGCATGTGTTCGAGAAGAGAATACACCAAAGTATGAATGATTTGGTATCCTACTATATGCAGGATTTAAGAAAGATTCAGCTTACATATTGCCAAACAGAATTTGGCAACTAACAGTTTTGATAAATCTCATTTACCCATAAATCTAAGATTTATCAAATTACACAATTCATAGTCTTTAAATTATTTAAAAATTTCCCCGCTCACAAATCTTAAATTCTGAAGCAAGCTACAGACAAAATTGAGCTTTTTTCACACCAATCAGTTTCAAGGTTTTAATTCTCTCGAGGTTTAATAAAAATCCAGCACTTTATGGCGAGATAAACATACAAAAGAAGCTTGTTTAGCATTGGTTTTTTTTTCTTATAAATTCATTGTATCCATAAAAACATTGTTTTCTTTGGAGTAGTTTAACATGTTTTGTGCATTGTTTGTGATATTTGGATACTACATATGCATTCATGGAAAATTCAGTGGCACAAAGCCTTTCAAGAGGTCCATTAACTTAATTTTCACTACTTATTTTGTGGCAGGAGAAGGGGATAAACAAAACTATGAATTAACAGTGAAAAGGGCTCATTCTGAAAGTGATAAATCTCACAATAATATCCATCCATCATTGTCATCATCATTATCAGGAAGCTATAAACAACCTTTGGTATGGATTGACTTGGAAATGACAGGTCAGCTATGAATTTTTGCATTATGCCATTTTTTTTTGTGAGTATAGTGTTTAAATTCAATTTTTTGATGCACCATAAAAGTTTTCTAATTATAAACTAGATTAATAAACATAAGTGCCAAGCTTTATTGCACCTGCTAGATTTAGACATAATCCAACCATAATTTTGAGGTAATAAAAGAGACTGTGGGAGTAACTAGTGAAGATCTGCTATACAAAGAAGTTAGCATATGCACCGATAAGGAGTGGATAGTGTTGGCGTTTATTGATTGTTAAGGAAATATGTGGACCGAAACTAACATGACTAGAAGTTGTGCAAGAAAAACTGCAAAAGTAAGTGCATAAAAACTTTATCCAGCCATAATTTTGATTTATTGTATCCCCAGAATTATGGTTTCCCTTTGGCACAAAATCTCATTTAATTTTATATTTGATGTGATAAAGAGAACATTCTTAGTTTATGATATTGATTGTGTTTTGAGGTTGCAAGAAATGACATTTGTATTAGGATGGAGGGGGATTGATGGGATTGATGATTTGGTAGACCTATTTTGTCAGCAAAAAATGAAGTTGAATCGTATTGTTTGAGGAGTTTGATTTGCACCTGTTTATGTATATCAAATCGATTGGTGCGGGGGTGTATGCCAACAAGGAATTTCTGTCACAGTAATGTATGGAGTTCATTTCAAACGAAAATGGTCCAAGTGTAATAGTATTGCTGACCTTGATTTGGAGGTGGAGAGACATGACCACTGAAGGTTCAGTGATTAAGCTTAACTAATTATACAATAATAACTTGTTATAGGTATAGAGTAGGCTCATTGTGGCTTTTAGACACATTGGCTTGACTAATTACGCTATTATTAAAACTTGGATATTGCATTTAATATCAAAATACAAAAGTATAAAACTATGCATTTATAATTTTCTTTTTATCCCCCCTAAAAAGGAAAAAAAGAGTATGATCACTATCTACATGCTTTCCAAATAAAATTATAATGTAAAGTAGTTTCAACACAAAATAGAGCAGCCTTGCTGTTCTCCCTTTTGGAATAAAGTGGAAGAGCACCTATTAGAATTGTGAAAAGAAAATGAGATTCAAACAATCCTTGGGTTGATTGCGCCATGTTTTTTCTTTCATATGTCGACGAAGAAGTTGATGATCTTGATGTTAACCCTCTTAATGATAATCTTGTTTAGCATGAACAATCATGGATCAAAGATATTTTTGATGGAGATAGTAGATGCAAGTTTAACCAAGGTGTCATTCTAATGTTTAAGATGTTGTGTAGCTACAGCTTACTCATCCCGAAATCACTTATGTGCCTCCTTCACAAGAGAGGGAAGTAATCCCCCATCAACATTCGTCAACGAGGAGAGAGGGGAATACTAGCAGTGACGATGAGACAACCTGGACTGCACTTGAAGGCACACTAGCTTGATGATATTTATGATTTGTAATGCGCAGGTGCTTTTTAATGAGATGGCTATTATGCATGCCATATGTCTGACTCAATAGATATACTTGAAGGTTGGCCCCTTTCTCTTGAGGGTATTCGCTTAGTGATAGAGGACAATGCGCTGTATCCACAGGTTGTTTAATGTCAGAGGAATGAGTTATGTTAGAGTTAATCTTAAAAGATTCATCATTGGCATATAATTAAATTGAAATCTACACCCTAACAAACTGAGTTAAGATTTGAAAATTATAACATACGCAGACTATGACCAAATAATTTGGGTATAAGATCATGAAAGGTCGTTAATTTGTCCATTAACTTCAAATAAGTCCATGAGAATATGCTTTCCATATAGTTTGGACATCACATTGTAAGATCAGGCGATTTAGTTCCATTAGATATTTTTTTGGAGACTGCTCACGAAGGTGATTTTTAGATGCCACCGTTGAGATTGAAGAAGACATCATCAAGAGTTTTCGGATGAAGCTGGATGATATATTGAAGTTTATAACATTGGCTCAAAATACATATAACAATAAGGACAAAGGTTGAGTTTTGAAATTTTAACCTTAACATTAGATATGCTTGTTTTTGAAATTTATTTTAAATTCTGTGATAGGATAGATTTTGTTGTTATTATCTTTTAAATAAAAATTATCTTATTTGTTATCTATAGACCTTTTGGAATTTGTTTAGGATTGGATAACTAGGCCAAATTCTCTTTATGGTTGCCTTAGGCGAAATTCTTGCAATAAAAATCACCTCTAATTCTATGGAAAATCTTTCTATTTCTTTGTTTTCTCCATATGTTGACCCAAGTTTCCTCTCAAAACCATTAGCCAGAAACCCATGCAACGTCCAACAGGTCTCTAGTCCACCTCTAGGCTTTCCTCTGTATTCTGCCGCCACTGCTGCCATCAATAAATGCCATGAATTTACATGGCTGTCACAACCGAAGTTACCGACCCTGCTGCTGCTGTATCTGTAGAAATTCACAACTACCACATTGGACAGCTGAATTCAGCAATCAAGGACCAAACGCAATATGGGTACCTTGCAGTTCTGCTACAGGATGTCGTTTCAGGTTTCAGTTTATGGCAAATTAGAGGAGAAAAACAGTAATAAGTCAGCCACTGCCCAACATAAGGAGTTTGGATTTGAAGTTCACAACAAAATAAAGAGCTTTTTTTACTATGTACGGTAAGAAAGGATAATAGAGAAAAAAACATTGCCGTCAACAAGTAGAATACAAACAATGAACATATAACTTGATTCTCATAGCGTTAGAGCTTCTATCAAATCTAAATCAATCTAATCGAAAAGAAAAATAAGTTGACCGACAGACTCTTGTGGTAATGGTAGAAGGTTAGCATCAGATGAAGTTGGAATTAAAATATTCTCTTTTCATTTATGGTACAAACAAAAAGATACATAAGAATAGGAGAACCTCTTTCTTGTCAAGATTGATATAGAAAGACAGTTGGGAATAAATATAAATGAACTTTAGATGAAAATATGTGACGCCCCGGGTTCGGAAGGCGGTACACCTCGGCAACACAGGGCATGATGAAAAAAATTGAATATGTTTTGTATTTTGCGGCCACTGCTGCCATCTATAAATGCCATGAATTTACATGGCTGTCACAACCAAAGTTATGGACCCTGCTGCTGTATCTGCAGAAAATCACAACTATCACTTTGTATAGCTGAATTCGGCAATTAAGGACCAAATGCAATATGGGTACCTAGCAGTTATGCTACAGGATGTAGCGTCGACCGTTTTATCTTTAGAGATGGTCATTCGGGCTTAATTTAATGTATATATATAGGATTGTAATTATAAGTTTAGAAAATAGTAATATTTTAATTTTGAAAAGTGTGACCGAGCGGGCCTCACATATTGATAGTTTAGGAGCCTGAGCGCGATACCACAAGTTGTAGACTATCCCGAAGGATATGCATACAACTTATTGGTAGGTTTAACCACCTAAATTAAAAGATCGGTGACGTCCGTTTGGTCTGTAAAACTGTTTGGTCTGCAAAACCTTTTTATAAGCCGACAAGTTCCACTATTTAACATAGGAGATTAAATAGGGTTTATCTTAAGCTGAGTTCTTAAGCTCCTTATAGAGACAAATCCATATGGTTAATTACATCTTAAATGATCGAAATCACTTAAGCAGACTCTCGATTAAGATCAGTGGTTTTGCTTTTAAGATTGTAAAATTTAGGTTTCCAAGGATAAAATATGAGGGAAAATCAAAAGGGAATGACTCAAAATAGGAACAATTATTTTTGGGAGTCAATGAAGTGAAAGGTAGGGGATGTCACAGATATGGAGAAATCACGGTGACTTCCCAACTATCCAACGATTGAACCATGACCTTAAAGAAACATCCCACACTTCGTTGTCGCGATCTCGATCGTCACTCTCCGTCAGCTTGCTTTCACACTCCGCTTCTTAAAAAGACTGCTCTAAGACCCTTAACGTATCGATTATAAGTTCGGGATTGTAGGTGTCCTACTGGCCTATAACCTAAAAGTCCCCCGCAAGCTTGTAGAAACAACATAAGTTACAAAAATGAACATGCTACGAAACGCAGTAAACAGTAAACAACAATATTGCAAACATGAATTATATGTATATGCAGATGCCGTAACAAAAGTAAACGCTATAATGTAAAACAAACCTGCACACCTGATGAGACGATGACTTCTGAAAAAGACTCGAGAAAAAGCGACAGAAGATCCACAGTAATTCGAGAAAAAAAACCGTCAAAAACTCGAAAACTGTCAAAACCTCCAAGAAAATCCAAAGAAAAGAAATCACAAGTGCTTTACAAAGATTTCGAGAAAGCCGTAGGAAAACACATAAAAAATCTGATTTCAATAAAATCGTAGGAAATCACATAAAAAATCCAAAAAAAGAAAGAAAGCCGTAAGCATTCGGGTCGGGCTATGCTCAGAATTAGGTATTCTCGAGGGACTCCGAATGCAAGTATCGGTCAACCGTATGTATATAGTCTAACATTCAACTAGAAAGGTGTTCTACTATACCAAATTTGGTGGGCACTCCTTAGCCCAATACCGACGATTGACAAAGACGATCGACTTATATTATTTAAAATTTATATTTTAACATGCGTATAGACTTCATGCATACAAGAAAAGTTGTGTCAATTTTGGTGGTCAAAATACTTTAGAAAATGATGTATCCGTTCCTATCATTTTTTTTTATAAAAATATGATTGTCCACAAGTCGATCGAACCGTCGGGCCAGGATCACCAATAACCTAAAAAGGCAAGGGTGTCCTGCTAGCCTGATGTCAGTGAATAATATTACCATTCTACATTTCACCAGGTCCCTAAATCGGCGTGTCTCGATGTCGTAGGATGAAATATTATTCCGCTCTACCGCCGAATGTCTTTATCATCAAGACCTAATACCCCAAAACAACTGTCCAACTTACGACCTTGCTTAATGGTCCCATTTATTGTCAAAACTATATACGTGTACTAATGTGTTGGACATAAGTGCCTA